ATATCAAAATAAAAGAAATAATGAAATAACGTCCAATAAAAGAGCTGAGTGAACATCTGTGTGGGATAGCCAGGGGGATTAGGAGGGTTTGGAACATTTTAAGCGCATTAAGGATTAAAAAAAGGTCAGAATGTTTAGCAACATACCGATAAACCTCTTAAGCGAAACCCAATTGGGAGGCTGTAACGCGTTATCCTGTGTTTTGGGGAGGAGAGGAGAGGAGAGGGGGAGAGTCGAGTTGACATTTGTTCCAACAAGGAGGGAAATCTCTGTGAACTAACAGCTTGTGCATATACATGTAGTTACACACATACATGCACACACATATGGGCACCCGCTGGTTTCATGTGGCTACATCAGCTCACTTGTTGGTTTGTATGTTTATGTTAGGAGTGTGCATGCTTGTACTGCACAGACACACAAATTACCAGACCTGTTTATGCATCTGTCTAACAGTGGTGTGCCACTTTTCATTTTTGACCTTGACTTTTACTCTGGTTTTATCCCATGTGTGTAATCAGCAGCTCAAACATTTCAACACTTGGTGAAATGTAGTGTGTGCATTTTCATTTTCGTTTGTTGCTGTATGGAACATGGTGCTTTTTAGTGAGCGTTTAAATGTGTTTAATCCGGACTCTTTTTTCAGCTGAGCTTTACTTAACTGCTTTGCTCTGCTGACTGTCTGCGCCACGAGGAGTGACAGATTGGCAACTCTGTCTGACCCCTGTCGCCAGTTGGTCAACAGCACAGTCTAACAGGTCAGAGGGCCAAAAACTAACCCACAACCAGTGGATGGATAGTGGGTTTGATAGACAAGGGAAAACATCTGTTTCGGAACCTGGAGACCAGCAAATTAATCACAAAGGAACGATTAGAGTAGTGAAGAGAATGAGTAAAATAAGATGTGGTGGGGCTTGTGAATGATACGTTTTGTCCGTTGAGGAAAACAAGAGGTGTCACAGCAAATGTTGATGAGGAGAAAGCAGCACAGATTGAACTGATGCAAAGGAAAGCCACAGAAAATATGTGTCGGATAAAGAGATGTAAAGAGATTACGAGGTGGAGAGAGCAACCACAGTGGGGGGCACAGCACTGTATGTCAAAGCCATGGTGACGGGTTACGTTGATTATGGTGAGGGTCATGATGATTTGCCCTGGAGCCTGCAGGGAAATTCTGTAATCAACCAATGACAGCAGCCGTCATGAAGCTACAGCCACAAAGAACTACCACAGTTAGTAAAGCAGACTCAAACTCACCACAGCAAGACTTCACGTATCAACTTACCATGTGCTAAAGGGCTAATGCGTTAGCAAACATATTCCTTGCTACATTTTTAAATCTATCAGCGGGATTGGTCTGCCAACTCCTACCAAAGTGATCCCAATCTTTTCAACTCCATGTAACTGGATCCTACACTCTCCTCCAGCCATTCATTTACTTTGGCTCTACATTAGAGAACAAGATATAGTTGTGCAAAATCATAGCTTTGCAAAGTCTTTTATTTACTTTAAAACTCAGAATTCACTTGCAGATTGATTAGCACTTTTTTCACAGGTTTTGAGTGCTAGGTCAAATGTTGTTGTTTAGATCTCAAAATCAGACTTGAATAATATTTTACCTAGGTGCTTTGAACACAGTTTCTGCTTATGACTGTGCCAAGATTTTTGCCCTAACTCTTAAATTAAGATTGACTCATATACTGAACAATGCATGAGTCAATCTTTGGCAACCCAGTGTCAAGTGTTACTGTGGCTTTGTGTAAAACCAGTGTAAACCACATATATGCCAAATAGGACTCAAAGAAACAAAGCTTTTCATTGTCATGGTTAAAATGGTGATTCTTTGCGACAATTGTTAAGTTGGTTATTAAGAGTTAATTACAGATGTATGTACATGTGCTTCTTGTGAATGTATGTACATCATCAGGTCAAGCATTGTGTTTGTATATGTTTGTTGTATTTTAATTCACTGGTGTGATGGGGCTGCAGGGTAGGCTGAAAGGTTTGAGGTTAGAGATGGTGGAGGTGGAGGGGCATCCAGTGGGGACGGCAGGAATATGATTGGGGTTGCTGAAGGGAGGGCTTTGGGGGGCTGTGGTGGGAAGATAAGGGACTGGCTGTGTGGTTAGGAGACTGGGGAGGGGGGAAAGGGGGCTGAGGCTGCTGTTGTAGGCTGCAGCTGGCAGAACGGTGATAACCAGCGACCAGACCTCCTCCATCTTACCTCCCTCTCTCTCTGTCCTCCTGCCTTCCCCAACCAGCTCCATGATGCTCTGTTGGACTCCACAGTGGTACTGATTTTCACAAATGATGTAGTAGTACGTTGTAAGTACAGTGTTAGTTGGCTAAAGAGCCTTAGTTCAGAGAAATGGAGGCAGAACTGGAAGGAGCTCCAGTATCTAGTAAGGTCATCTTCTTTTACAGTCTTGAGACTTGAGATCTTCAAGAGTGATGAAAACGTATCTCTGATTAAAAAGGAAAAGAAAAACCAGGAGTCGTGCTGTAAACCAATAACTTGAATCCTACTGTATTACATGCTTTTAGAGTTGACGTGGTTTGACCAGTGGAGGCCTCAGGGTGACGTTTAGTACAGCTATCAGTGTCACTGCTAATGCACATATCTGCCTGACTCTCTTATCTACCAGGAGCCTCAGTTTTCATTCTTTGGTTTTTCACACCCTGCAAAAGCAGAACATGTTGGGGTCATGACAGGCCAACAATACACTAGAAGAAATTTGAAGGGCAGGATATCCAAGTGTTGGGATTTTCCAAAACGTGATATGTCCACATTGGACAACGATTGTTCTCTGTCACTTAGTAAGACATACAGTATATGATTCCATAGTAGTATGGTAGCTATCATGGTACTGTAAGGATAGCAGTAAAAAGCGGTTCCATGGTGTTAATTACATGCTTCTCCATGGTGTCAATCTGTTCATGTAAGAAGGCCTGAACTTGTTCTGTCAACAAAGATCTATCCCCAAAACAAAGACAACTGAGTATCAAGTGCCACCATTTCTTCTTAATCCCATTGGCTTGCATACAATGATTGTGTAACAGTACTGAAAATAAACTAAAATGAAATAATCGTCCGCTGCATTGGTTTGTTAGTAGACAGAAGCAATCAGACCCAAGTCTGCATTCACAAGTGCAGAACATTAAAAGTGTCTTGAAGCATAGTCATTGTAGATATGTTAATAGAGTAATAAAACATGATACAAGCAGCCTTTGTGAAGTCTCTTTGGCGACTTGACTTTGAACCTCCATCTGTGATAGTACGTTCCCTTGAAGTCTTGTTTAGGGTCCGTGGCAGCAAAGCATACCCTGCAACTTACGCATACAGTATGACTATCAGTTATCTATGAAGCATACTGTACATACAGTAAGATGACTGTGTATCTACCCAATGCATGTATGGTGTTAGAAATAGAGTGTTGACAATATTGTCAAGCCCTGTGGTGAAATACTACACGACGGCAAAAAGTCCAGTGAAGTCAGGTTGTGTTTTTCAACAGCTTTTTTTGGCCATCATATATGTTTACTCTTGAGTGTGTACCTCAATGTTTGTCCATGTATGTGTGTGTGTTTGAAAGTGTGTGGGTGCACGTCGGGGGCGCAGCCTCGTATGTTTGGAGTGAGTGCCGTCAGTTAGCTGGAATGTGGCGCTACCGCCAATGCTAAGATGGCTGCCAAGCTCTAAGATGGCTGCCAGGATTACACCCAGCCAGTGAGAGACAGTGAAGAGCGAGAGATTCTGCATGTGAAGAGAGGGGAAAAGAAGCTCTCTCATTTATGTGGTCTTTCTTTCTATCTTTCTTTCATTCTTGCTCTTGTCTCTCTCTCTGTGGATAAGCAGTGATTCGTAGGCAGCGAGACAGGTCTGTTATTGTTTCTGCTCAGTAATCTGTGGCTTAGTGTGGCTGCAAGGCAAGTGCTGCTGGCAGGAGTGTGTGTGCTCTGTTATCACCTACAGCCTGCAGATAAACACCTCCTTTAGCTAGCTTGCTAGCTAGCTACATCCCAGCTAGGCCTGAATGGATGGCCAATACCACACCATAACAGTCTTGGAAATGGGGTTCAGTCTTTTCCAACAACTCAGACACGTGGTCACAAATATAAAGGACATTTCTTTCTCACAGCCTCGACAAGAATGTGCTCTCTTTAGACCAACTTTTCTCATGTTACAAAACCTTATCGTGCACTGTCTTATTTCAGCCTGCAGCTCCTCCAAGTCTAATTGGGGCTCTTTTTTTGCCAAGATTTGGCATGTTTGTGTCTATACATGTAGGTGCGTAAGTGAACCAGTCATAACAGGTGTGTGTTGGTGCAGATGCATATGTGTACTTGTATTTGTGTTGCTCTGCTGTCATTTGATCCCAAGAGGAAAAGTTTGGCCTCAACTTAAAACGTACTCGGACTGGAATGGTCGGTCTTTCCAAATACTCTGTGTGTGTTTATGTATTTGTGTGCGTGTCCACGGAGGAATTGCAACATGTATTAAAGTATGAAACATAAATTAAAGAAAGAAACAGCTTGAGCGAGAGAGTTGTGTGGGTGTGTGTTCATATGTGTGTGTATGTGCAAGGTGCTCTGTTTACGCAGACTAAATCCCTACCAGCAAGAAGGTATTAAATGGGATTAGGGTGAAGAATATGATTGCGTTGAAAGATACTAAATGGCATAGCAGCACACTATAAATCATTGCACCTCGAGTGAGGAGGGACAGAGGGAGACAGAAGGTAACATTCTTAGATACAAGACTGTCGCACAAAAAAGTGTGAATTCACACATAAACACACGCACACACTCTCAAGATGTATACCATAATTGTCACATACTGCAAGTTCCTATTACTCCCTTTCAGATCTCAAATATCACACTCTTGGCAGCATGGATAAGTGTACGCTTACCAGTATGTTTTTGATTCTTTTTTTTAGCATACAAACCAGATCCTAAACTTTTGTCTTTCTTTGCTCTCCCCTCCCTGTGTTTCTGTCCAGAATCCGGACAATCAGACAGCTCCAGCCAACAAGGGGACACAGACATCAAACCACCGCCCAATGGTAGGCACACACACACACACACACACACACACACACACACACACACACACACACACACACACACACACACACACACACACACACACACACACACACACACACCCTGTCAAATCAGCATACTAGAATTGATTCCATCATGCTTATCAGTCTTAACATATTCCAATTATGGATCCAATTAGCAAACACACTCGCACAGATGTTGATCCACAAACATAGTTGCAGATGGTCGCCCTCTCAAAGGGATCTGATTTTCAGGGTTTTCTTCAGATTTTTGGTTTTTTGTTTGAGACACAATGAATTTATAATATAGTGGGTCTAATGCGTTTTGATGATCTGATCACAACCTTTTCTGTGCAGGGCACCTGAGTTTCCAGGACTGCTTCGTCACTTCAGGGGTGTGGAATGTCGCAGAGCTGGTCAGAGTGTCACAGAGTAAGTAGTAAAACTGATGCAAAGAGAGAGAGGCGACAGCAAAACAATTACAATATCCCCAGTATCATTTGAAACGGCAACCAAGCAGACCCATATTGAACCCAATACAATATGCCTTCTGAACTACTGAGACATAATGTACTATTTTTTTTCATTCACCCATTCTTACTTATTCCCCTTTCCTCCCCTCTTGTTCTTTTATTTCTCTCCGTCAGCACCTGTTGCCACAGCGTCAGGTCCTAACTTCTCGCTGGCTGACCTGGACAGCAGTCCCAGCTACTACAACATCAACCCGGTGGCTTTAGGGCGACGCTCCCTCACCTCCCCTCCTTCCACTAGGTACACAGTCCTGACTGATTACACACAGACAACAGTATTCTACGAGTGTTAGGAGATGTTTCAGCCTCATGAAATACTATTGTCAATTATAATAGCTGTCCGCCATTAGTAGGGTTTTTTGTGGGTGAAGCCACCATGTGGCAGTAGCAGTGTTACCTTGATATGTGATTCGCTGTGAAGCCAAGGGCAAACTGGGGGATGGTGTGAAATCACAGTAATATCTGCCAACAGTATATCATTTTGTATCGCAAGGATGACTTTACTGGCAAGTAAAGTACACCATTTCATTGAGGTTTCTTTATATAAATGGCATAAAGTACTACAGTGCATTCCCAGTCTTGGAATCTGTCCAGGACTGTCCTGTCCTGAACCTCTTTTACATATATATGTACAATATGTGTGTGAGTCTCCCTTTTAGCTGCTCTCCTTTGTATGAATGTGATGGCTCTTTCCACTATTTGCTCATGTGTTTTCCTTCCTAAATTGTCTCTTTCTCTCTTCTTACCTCCGTCATCTGCTGTCACTTTAGGTCTGATGTGGAGTTGTACGCAAACCTTCCACGGAGGTAGTTATACACACTTACTAAGACACAACTTAATGAGACACGTGCACAGAACAACACACACACAAAGAGAGAGTCTTACTGTCTGGCTGTCTCTGCCTTCTAACTATTGTTTCTGTTTCCTCCTTTCTTCATTCCTAGTTTGACATTTGTTGTGCTTTGTCTATTCTGCTCCAAGACCTCAGGATATGATGTTGTTTCCACTAAGATGCCAAGCTTCTTTTCATGTTAAAGTGTTTGTTTTGTATGATTACTTTGTAATGATCGGGTCGGCAGGGTATTTACTCCTTGATCCATACATCTACCATCTTTAGGCAAGGCAAGGCAATTTTATTTAAATAGCACCTTTCAGCACGCGACAATTCAAAGTGCTTTACAAATTAAAAACAAAGGACATTTTAGACTAAATACAGCATAAACACATTATTAAATGGCAATTTAAAAACAGGCATAAAAAAGCAAAGATAATGAAATAAATAAATAAACACAGCAGGTACAGAATACATGAATAAAAGGCATACTGCAGTGTGAGTATGCACAGCTCAATTAAAAGCAGCGGCAAATAGATATGTTTTTAGTCTGGATTTGAAAATAGGAATTGTTTCAGCGGACGTGCACGTATCTTTAGATACACATATCTTTATGTATATATCTTTTAAATCATGTTATCCTCCCCCCTCTCTTTCACAGCTCCAACAAGAGGAAGTCATTAGACGACAGTGAGCTGGAAAGCCCCACAGATGATGTTTTCTACCCCGGACGCTCGCCTGCTGCCAGCTCCTCCCAGTCCAGTGCGTGGCCCAACGACATGGATGCAGGTACTGCCCTATACCACCCTTCACCTGTCACCCACGAAACAAGCTTCATGACACTTTGTATCACTCCTGCCTGACCCACATCCCACCACCACAATATTACAAAGTGATGCCTTTATCTGGCTTTGTCTCTTCTTCACACTCCCTTTCACAATCACATGCCTTCACTCTGGTGATTAACACATCCTTGAACATCCCTATAAACCACTACCTCATTCTGATGAATATGAAGAGTATTGTAAACCAATATTGACCAGAGTATGTTGGTCACAATATATAGCAATATAAAGCAAACACACATCACATGGTTTAAACATGTAATACCCGCCCATTTACATATCTGAGCATAACATTAAAAACATGAAAAGGCCAGGTTCAGGTCTTGTCAAGGAAACAAAAAATTCGCAATTCAATTGTTACAGTCATCACCTTCAGCATTTTCAATTTACACTGATTGAATAGTCTCCTTTTTGTTAAGTCAATGGGCTTAACATTTGTTTTAGCAATTTTTTGGTCACAATTGTTTCAATACAATCACTATAACACTTGAAAATTGACATCATCATGGATCAATTGTGCTTTGTGTTATGATATACATCCACCAAATAGCTCCAGACACCGGGAATATAAATGCCAAGATGCATCAAGTATGGAGCAGCAGCCTGTAGTAAGGCATTATGCTGGTGTTGCTATTGTTTTGGCAGTAACCGCTTCCGCTGTGATTCAGCCTTGGACATTACCCTCTCTTACATCATCTTCCCAACAGCCCAATAACTCAGAGAAAAAACCCTCTCAAGTTCACTTCCTCACTCCCAAATCCCAAGGCTTCATATTTGTACTCATCCTGAACCTAAAGCCATACTCACACATACAGTTTACCTGATTTTTTAACTCTCCCCCTTTCCATCTTATATCTCTCTCTCTCTCTCTCTCTCTCTCTCTCTCTGTCTCTCTCTCTCTCTCTCTCTCTCTCTCTCCCCCTCTGTCTCTCTCTGTCTCTCTCTCTGTCTCACTGTCTCTCTGTCCAGCTGAAGGAGACCTCTCTCTGTCTCTCTCTCTCTTTCTCTTCATTGTTAACAATACCCTTTTCCACTTTCAGTGCAGCACCATTTGGCGAGTGTGCAGGAGAGGAAGATAAAACATGAAAACGATGGCGTGCAGTTTCCTTACCATGGTTAGAACAACATTGATTACACTCATATAATTAGTAAATTGTGTGCGTGTGTGTGTGTGTGTGTGTGTGTGTGTGTGTGTGTGTGTGTGTGTGTGTGTGTGTGTTCAAAGTTAAGTTAAGTTATGTGATGTCTGTGGATGTGTTTCCAAACATTTTATTTTCATGATTTGAGTAAGGTTTAGCTGTTTCCGCAGATTTATTTCATTGCTAATAATCAAAATTGAATTTTTCCAAATTAAATTCCCTGAGCATACATTAGTAGGATTGTCGAGGATTATCCTGTTCAGGCTTAACTTTCTGTGTGAAACATGACGTTACACTTAACTCACCTGAGCTCCCCGGCTTTATCTCTCTGATGTCATGTCAGTCCTCCAAGCGGCATCTAATTGACAGATGTCACCAGGATAACACTGACAACACCAGCCGGCACATTCACATGCTGTGCCCATTCTGCCTCACATGCACAGTGACTCACTCAAACACCTACAGAACCCCCCCCCCGCACACACACATTAACATCAGATACTGTACATACACAGAGCCCCCCCACAAACAGGGCTTACACACTCACAACCCTCCCTTATGTGCAGACGTTGACACATTGAATCACATTCTTATCATGCTCCCCACCCCTGCAGGTGTTCAGGTGCCTGCCTTGCCTCCATCCCTCTGTCGCTCCATCCCTCCCTCGCTTCAAATCCCTCATTAAGACGCTTACCGTCTGTGGATCAGAGGTGTAAAACCCTTCCTCCTGCTCACTAGCTCTCCCTTCAACCCTCCATCCCTGTCTCCCTTCTGTCTAATTGAAAACGTGTACAGCAGGAGGGACCTTGGGGAGGGAGAAAACATGTCAGAGGAGAGAAGGAGGAGAGAGAAACTGAAAGCAGGCAAGTGGGAGGTGAGAGAGGGAAGAGAGGAGAGAAGAAGACTTTGGAGTACTCAAACGGTGATAGCTAATGAGAGAGAAGAGTTATCAGGATGAGAACTAGAGGAGGTGTGCCCCGTCTACTCTCGCTCGAGCCTCAGCGGCTGCTCTCCTGCTCCCGCTCCACTTAGCTGTAAATGTAATTAAGAGGCTGCTCATCAGAGCCACAACAGAGGCTGCTGCACGCCTTAGCGCACCAGAGCCTCACCTCACATATTTTCCCTGTCTCTCACTCTCTCTCTCCTCCTCTCTGTGTATGTGAACCACCCCTTTACTCTACAAAGTGCAACACACACAGCCGTGTACACCTCCTAATGACTTTGGCAAATAGAGGTGAGGAATTGCACGCAAATCTGGACCCTCTACCCAATTAATTTACGAAATCCAAGTGAAAAATACGGAAGCCAAAAGCTTTTGTAATTATCAGCAGTTTTTTATTTTGCAAATAGTTATTTTTGTAACAGTAGCTAGTGAGAACCATGGTCCACACAAGAGGAACCAAGGGAACCAGGAGAGAAGGAGTTATTGTAGGCCACAAATGGAGCGAGTAGAGAATGTGGATTTGGTACGGTGTGTATCCGATCTTCCAAAGGATACCACCTGCCACAGGCTGAGCTCATCTGGGAATATCTGTCCAGGTGGGGAGTATGTAAACAAGCAAGCACAAACACACACACACAAAACAAAACAAGGAGCAAAAGAAACCTCCCAGGAAACCTACTTACACACAGGTGTGCATCACTGTCTGTCAACGGCACCATCCACCCCAACTTGGCCAATAGAATAAAGGCATCCAGTAAAACACACAGACGTATGAAGACGCATTCATACATATATATCACACAATCACGGTTACATTGAGAAATACACATGACAGATTTTTGCACACATATCACACGGCCCACACAGATGCATACACTAGCACAGCTGAAGCATGGTCCCAGATGGTGTTTCCGTGTGTGTGTAGCCTTGGGATCTGTGAGGATGCTGGAGACATCTGCTCCACGGGGGCACGAGGAGGGGTGGGGGAGGTTAGGGGAGACAAATGAAACAACCAGGATTTTGCATTAGTTCCAAATGATTGGGAAATGTTCCTGAGACACCAGAGACTTGTGGTGTTGGGGGGGCTTTCTCTATGCTTTGAGTTAAATGTTACAGGCCCATAGAGGGATACGACTGGACGTACATATGTGCTTTAAATCACTGGAGAGAGGAGAATTCCCTCACTTTCCTTCACTTGTCTAAACCACTATCTCCTGTCTTTTTCAACCGTGTGTGTGTGTGTGTGTCTCTGTGTGCTTCTGTGTGTGCTTCAGAGGCGCATCTGGTGGCAGGCCTGTTAGTGCAAAGAGACAGAAGGGTCATCATGGGAGCGCTTGATTGGTTGCCAGTGAAATACTGAGGCTTGCCAGGAGAGGAAACAGTGCAGTTGTGGCACATCCACACACAAAAAACACACACACATAAACCCAGATCAGACCATTGCATAGTCTCTGAAGCACCGGAAATACTGTCTTTCGCATTCCCTTGGTGATAGTGACGGTGCCACAGCGTCCTATATATACAGATGTCAATCTCCATCTGATCTTCTCTGTGCTTCCTGGCTCTGATTTCCATACTTGAGACTCATTTTGACTACCAAGATCAAAGTAAATCAATACCTTTCTGAAACCATGACTGTTTAATCTACAAGGCTCTGTTTTTTTAAACTTTCTTCCAAATATGTATTTTCCAACTCTCTCCCCTGCAGTGCCTTTCCTTGTCCTAGTCTCTATAGACTGCTCTTATTTCTAGTTTTCTCCCACCAGTGTGACAGTGTCATAGCAATCACTGCTAACTATTGGTGTCAGAAGTGGGATCGGGGTTGTCTTCATGCTTGGAATCTGTCTGACAGTACAATACGCCCCCAGACTCCCGCTACAGTGGGGGGGGGGGAGAAGAAATATATGTCTGCTAAAGACATAAATGGTTCACACATATTCACTCCCACCTGCTTGAGACTTAACTCTTTCACACAGGGAGGGAAGGTTTTGCACGCCCCCACACTCCCATAGACTTTCACACGTCTCCAGCTGGAGAACTGAGGAGGAATCGCATTTAATGCCTTGTTTGATGCGGAGGGGGCCACAGAAATAGACTACAAAACAACAGTCTAAAAAAAGTTTAAAAAAGAATATTATCACTCACTTGTTAGGAGGATTAGAGGAAAACTCTACAGAAAATAAATGTGCATGTTGTTTCATCAGTTAAATGTGGCTGTGTTGTAAGGCTCTTTGTTTTTCGTGATTGGACACGTGCTTGTGCTTCTGTGTGTGTTCAGATGTTGAGTGTGTGAGTGAGTGTGTGCGAGCGAGAGATAATAACCATATTTAACATCTTATGACATTCCAATTTCATACATGTCGTCAGAGCAACGCATTGAAAAACAAGACGCTGCTGCATTTTTCACAGGTTCTGCTTTGCTCCCTCGCTCCCTTGCTCCCTCGCATATTTTCATGTCTCCCACGTTCTTCTCGCCTCTCTCTTCCTCTCTCTCTCTCTCTCTCCCTCTGTCTCCTCTCTCTGTCCGTCTGCTTGTCTTTCACACTCAGCAGCTGCCGTGTCCATACTGTACAGTGTGTGCTATTTCTGAATGAAGCCTTCTTCTCGTGCATCCAGCCTGTGAGCTTCACTGAAGCCAGACCACAACTAGCTGACTGTGGCTGTACGGTGGCCATGCTCATTCTCAGAGAAAGCCTGGAGTTGGCACCTGACAGAGAGAGAGAAACTGAGAGAAAGAGATGAGACAGAAAAACATACAGGGGCACAGTAAAGGTTACTATAGCTACAAGTGGGCTTTGGACCAGTACCAGATTCTCTTTTTCTCTTTTTCCCCCCTTTTCCTTTAAAGATATGCATGCCACTTTAGGATAAGAAATATTGCTTATCCCTTATTTTATGACTATAAAGTTGGGAGTTGGGAATCTTACAGTACATCTATTAATGACGTAGAGTCCTCTGATTGGCTCATTTACTGAAGTGAATGGTCAACAGCCAAAAGGACAGGAAGCAAAGCACTGCCATCAACCAATGAAGAAATTAAAGAATCTAATCAGAAACCATGATTGTTCAAGTCCCCATCTTTTTTTTACTCAAGCCAATTAAAGAAGCAACATTTTGTTGATTAAAACCACCTCTCTCTTTTCCTCCCTTCCCCCCCCACTTTTTTTGTTGATCCCATTTTTTTTTTCGCCAGGACTGTCCTCGCCTGGTTCACTTAAGAAGCCGGGGAAGTTTGATTTCAACGCCCTGACTTCCCAGACGAGGTCCCCCCGCATGGCGTTCACACACCACCCGCTGCCTGTGCTGGCAGGAGTGAGACCAGGTGAGAGCCCTGCCATGAACCCAACAACCCAATTCCCCTTTTATAATCTGAAACAGAGAGAGAGGGGAAAGGGAGTGTCAAACGTGAACCAAGAATGCCAAATGTACAACTCAAAACAAAATGAATTCTACAATCATGTGCGTGAAAATGAAATTCCTAAACGTATAAAAAGAATCGTAAAGCCCTACATTTGCAACTGCTGAGAAGCAATATGCCCGAAGCGTTTCACCTTTTCAAAGTTACTGCTATCACCATGGCTTGGCGTGAATTTCTCTCTCTCTTTCAGCCTCTCCATCCATCCATGTTTAACCATCATCTCTAATGCCTTTGTGTTTTAATATTGTCATTGCATGGTACCATTGCTGCATTGATGCCTTTGTGACTGATTTGGCTCAAATCTTAATGCTTCATGCATCCATTGTAATGTTTATGTTCACTTTAACTCTGTATATTCCCATGTAATGAATCTGACTGGGTGTGTTAACTTACCAAGTTCAGCTATCCGGACCCTAAATAGTTCGAAGTAAGAGTTAATGTTGCAAGAAAAGCAAATACTCATTTATTCAGTACACAAGATCAAAAACTTGTGAAATATCTTTTAATCGTCATAAAAGCTGCAAGACAAAGGAACATTTTGAAGACACAATTTGAAGTGGAATTCAAATATGTTTTTTTTTTATATATACTGTATCTTATTTATATCTATATCTTTATTATACATACAATTATTCTCTGTGTGCGCATATGTATATGTTTGTGTATGTTTTACATTTAGCTGCAAAATTGCATTTGTATTTTTCTGTTTTTAAAGGATGTGTTTGTTCAGATTCTACTGAGAGTGCAGAGCAATTACATATTTGAAAGGAGTAGAAAGAAGTAACAGATTAAACTCACGCAGTTTCACAGATTTACAGTAGACTGTAGTGGTTGGAATTCTTTAAGTATCATCCAATGTTTCCGAGGTTTTGTTTCAAGAGAGGCACTAACGCTAAGTTGTCCTCATAAGAGCTTTTCAGGCCTATAGGATAAGCGACATGGTTTCTCCATCTTTGAGAATTCCCCAAGTCTCCTGGATGTCGGGTTTGCCAACAAGACCCAGTAGGCTGGTCTCACTTTCAAAGGAATAAATATGTGCTTCTCTCTCCCCCTGGCTCCATGTATTTCTCAAAGGAATGGTTTGGTCCGCATCCAAACCAGACCTACTATGTAAAGGTCATTTGGACTCATTGCCCTCCATGTTGAAATGTATTGAATTTTACCCGCAGAGCTCCCCAAAGTATATTTAGAAAAAACAGAGCAGGCAGGATCTCGCGCCATTAAGCCATGTTGTTTATCTGCACAGAGCAGTCCTTACGCCTCTGGAAAATTTAAAAACACCACATTAAATTGTGCGTTTAAATGAATTCTTAAAATATCCTCCTCTGTTTTGTGCGTGAGTCGAAGAGGTGTGATGGACTGGCTCAGGTTTCTTTGTTGCCTGACTAACTTCTCACAACCTCCAAACCGCGTGTGCATACTGTTGGCTAAGAGGTTTGCATGTAATAGAGAGGCTGTAATGGGACAGATTTTAGAAATTGTGTATGGGTGCATTTGTGCACGTACACAGACATACACATGTGTGTATGTGTAAATGTACACTCTTGTTGAGGACTCTGTGCTAAAATGGCTGCCATCCAAATGGAATGTCCCTCGGAGGCCTTGGTTCTATAAAGAGACTGGAGGATGATGGGAGGGAGGGAAGGAGAGCGATGAAAAGAGAAATTGGGGTAGACGGAGAGGGGGAAGAAGCAGTTAGCGGTCATGGACTGGAGATGTTAGCTCGTGTTGTATAGGTCTAGTGAGTGTGGCTGTTCAGGGGTAAGGACTGGATGGTTTATGTCCTGTTTTTGGCTCCGGACTGACGTGGAGAGCTGCCAGATCGACTGTTGTCTGATTATACTAGTCTGGAGAGTCCGCCATTGTAACAGTGATTACACTCACACAAATATAAGGACAAAGACACATAAAAGCTGCAACAGACAACACATGCACACAGACAGACAGACAGACTACAATAAAACTAAGATACAGTTTTACATGCACACATAACAAGATGGGAACACCAATACACCAGAACCTAGAAAGTTTGGACAAATAGACACTTGCACACTTTGTGAGTACAGCATACACAAGAGACAGTAGGTGACAGACATAATCACAGATGCTTGTTTGCCAGGCTCCCCTCACCTAGCAGCTTGCCTCTTTAGTTTGGTGTGCCAAATTGCCAAAGCCATAGAATCTCGGCAGACAAGACAGACAGACAGCGTGTGTGTGTGTGTGTGTGTGTGTGTGTGTGTGTGTGTGTGTGTGTGTGTGTGTGTGTGTGTGTGTGTGTGTGTGTGTGATGTCTAATGTCTCCGAGAGGCGTTTTGTGGTCGGTTGGGAGCGGAGGGGAGATTCTCTCCCAAGCTTCAAACTGCTGGGCAGAACCGCACAGCAAGGATATGCTGCTGATTGATTACACATCACCGACAAGCAATAAAACAAAAGTGGAAAAACCCTGTGTGTGTGTGGTTCTGTAATACCCCAGTGGTTAGTGTGGGTGTGTGTGTTTGAGAGAGAAATGAAGAGGAAGCAGAAGGCAGAAAATACTTTAACACACTTTAGCGTCTATTTGACTGCGTAACTGTATGTGTGTGTCCTAATGCCAGGCTTACCGGAGGTACAGAGAAATCTAGTTGGCTGATTTATAAAATGAATGGGACCAGATGTTTTCCAATAGCCAGGGATAATGTCCATCATTTGTAAGCCAGAGCAGCTTCAGTCAGTTAACCACGAGAGAATGTCACTGCTATTTTCTGTGTTATGACAATCATAGGCAGAAGAGGCAACCTGGTCTTTGATGCCAGCTGTGCCTGTGCTCAGTGAAAACATATGCAAGTCTTATATACTGTCATAGGTGTGCATGTAAATGTAATATCATAATGTGTTGAGTGTTATGTATGCTTAACATCTGTTGTGTTTTTTTAGTAGAGAAGCAATAGAATGACCTGAGCCTCATTGTATTTCCCACTTCTGGTCTCTTGTCTATCTTCTGCTCACGTTCCTCTTCCTCCTCTCCTTTCCTGTTTCCTTTCCCCTTTTCTCCTCAGGGAGTCCCCGTGCCTCAGCCTCTGCTCTGCACTTCCCCTCCTCCTCTATCATCCAGCAGTCCAGCCCGTACTTCACCCACCCCACCATACGCTACCATCACCACCAGGACCCTCTTAAGGAGTTTGTGCAGTTTGTGTGCACCGATGGCACAGGACAGCCCAGCGGTCAGGTAAGTGCTCTCTGTTCAGCAAAGGGAGGTGAGGGGATAGTGGGATGGTCTGCAGTGCAAAAGTTCATTTTTTAGTCAGTTCATTTCTGTGATATTAACTGAAGAAGACAAGAAAAGCTAACAAGAAAACCTCCACATCATAAATATATACAGAATGAGTTCCCCCATCATTTATCATCTTATTTGTGAGCTAGTGCAACAAGGTCATTTGATCCTACTCCGGGGAATAGATCAATCTTTATTATGTGCAGCAACATCGTCAGGAAAAGGGAAAATGGTTTTAGGGCAAATCTGTCAACATGAGGAGGCAGCTAGAAGTGATTAAACAAAAGAAAAAAACTCAGCTGTGGAAAACTACGTTGGAAGCAGCCAAACCGCATTTGAGTCATGATATGTTCAACGTATCATGCAACACCTACCGCAAAAGTGAGGTAGGAGAAGATCTTGCCTGTCACTTATGTTCAGTTTGAGGAAGGAAGCACATTTGGAAAAAGCTCATAGGGCAGGTATGGCCGTGCCAGACTGGCAGTGGATTTACTGAAGGGAACCGAAGCTGCAGACTCAAGAGAGACTGGGAGAGGATGTGTAGACACATCTAGATTAGTACTGTTTGGATAGTTAGGTATCTGTAGAAGGAAACTGAAACAGACCATTTAACAAGCCTCTTTGACCCGTAGCCAGTAAAGGATCCTCCTTTACTCTTTAAATGCTGCAATAGGGTTAAAACTGTCACTCACTCTCACAAAAAAAAAAGTGTTGTGGGCAAACCAGTAAAAAATGAGTCCAGAGGTGACCCACATGAAAACCACAGTGACATGCCCACATTCACCTGCTGAAAGTGAGAGTTTCCAAACAGCAGAGCTCAGGCGCAGTATACATCTGACTGTCTAAACGCCATTTCAAAACTTTTCAGAAATGTTTGGACTAGGGCTGTCAAGTTAACATTAACGCGTTAATAACGTGAAAAAAAGAACCGTGAAAGTTTGTCGGGGAGACGCCTGGACACTTCTACGAGCAGAAAACTTTTAACAGCGATAGCTAAATGAGTGGCTACAGCTTAACATTGTGGAGGACGAGGGGCTGCGTTAGATCATTCGGATCGCATCCAACGTGTCGACTGCACATCACAGCGCATTCTTTTGACTGAAGATGAAGACAGAGGAGCGGCATTTCGCCGATAACTGTAAACAGGCTTGTCTGTTTGAGCAACTGGCTCAGTGCAAAGAAGTACACAGGGTTGGGAGAGAGAGAGAGGTTCCAGGTTGTTGTGTTGAGAATATTCAGGGGAATATTTGTCATTGTTCCAATGATAATAANCCCCCCCCCCCTTCATCCTCTGTCTATCCTCCACCACCTCTGCCTCCCATGATTCTTTGGTGTTTGTAGATAACTCCTCCTCCTGGCTCCGACTTCCCTTAACCCCCTTCTCTTTTCCTCTCCCTCTCTCACCCTGGCTCTCCCAGTGTAATCCTTGGCAGCAGAGAGTGACCCCCTCTCTCTAACCCCCCCCTTCAAGTCCAAGTTCAACTGCCTATGACATCATGTCTGGTTGCTGCGGGCAACCAGACAGCCGGGACGTGACTGTGGAGTGCAGCGAGCTTCAACTAACTCCCTCTCACTTTTTTCCCTCCGTTTCTCTCTGTCCCTCCTACTCTTTTCCTACATGTCCCCCTATCCCGCTCTCTCCTCCTGCAGGGCTAGGGTCTCGCCACCAGAGAGCTCCTCAGACCAGCTTTTCTCTGCTCCTTGGGAAGACTCTCTCTCTCTCTCTCTGTCTCAGCTAGTTGGCCAGAGGACGGCGAGGCGTGTTGGCAGGGCCGTCGTCTGCACCTCTCCATATGCCAGAGAACAGCAGGATAGGCAGACACCTCTGTTACTCACTCTGGCTGGGTTATTACTGACCTACTAGGCTCAGCTTACTGGGAGCAGTTGATATCAGTGCCGAGGTTCTCGCTGGGCGTGCCGTATACCCAGCCGAAATGTTCAAAGTGGACATTTTTCAATGATGTTTGATATAGCAATAGCAGGGGATAATAAGCGCTGGGAACAGATGTAAGCTGTTGTTAAAGCCCTGTTGTTTTTTAGGGGAGAAAAACGAGGGGCATGAGTTTTGGCACCGAGTTGAAGTGCATGTGCGTGTGAGCATACGCGCTCACACTCATTTGGATGGTGTTTGGATGTCCCCTCGGTGCCAGGTCTACATCTGTGTGAGAGTGGTGCAGGTGGAGATCTCGAAAGGGTAGAGGGAGCAGCAGGAGGAGAGAGAGAAGCAGAGGGAGGGTGGGCTGCTGATGCATGAGGGGAGGGAGGGAGGGAGGGAGGGGTGAGGGCGAGCAGAGCTGTGCCGAAGAGGAATGCAGATTGTTTCCATGTGTGGGGAGGACAGGAGAGCCGAGCTGGCTGCAGGCAGGTGCGGTTAGCCCCTAATGAGAAAAGTTGTGTTGGTGATGGAGGAGGCCCAAGACACTGCAGCCCAGTGGCAGAGCGAAGCCAAAGCTGAAACCACAATGTAGTTCACTACTGGCCTCACACGCTGCACTAATACACACTGTGGGGCCGAGCAGAGATAAATCAACACGGCTGGAGCTGAAACTAACTGGCACTGCTTTCCTTCTCTGTGGGTGAAACTACTGCGGTACACACTGTAAACCCCAACTGAAACTAAAGGCCTTGATTCATGGGCAACACTTTGTGTCAATGTAGGTGACAAGTTCCCAAACAATATATTGTCGATGTGATAATATTCCCCTGCAAGTATTATATTATTAAAATGGAATTATGTAAAATGTGTGCAAGTAGAATACAAACTCAAACAAGCACAACAGTTTCATGGAAGATTTAAAGCTGAATTTAACTTTTGTAAAACATAGTAGTAGTAGTGGTAACAATAGTTTGACAAAACAATCACGACTCAAGGTCCACTTCCTAGCTTTTTCTAAAGCTTCTACCATTTAAGTTAAGGTTTGAGTTTGCTCAGTTATAATTGACATGATTCTGTTTACGTTCAGCCCTTAAATAGCTCTTTATAACAGCTGTAGAGTTCACTGAACCATCTCCATTCAAAACTGAGCCAACTCATTCCACTCATTTGTGATGTGGTAAAAGCTTTTGAAAAAAAGCTTGAGAGTGGACCTTGTTTTTGTATTTGTTTGCCAATATAAGAATCTGATTTAGTAAAATAATGAAGGCAACATTTATGATGAGTAGTGGTGACAAACTGTTGATCAATACTGGTCCCATGGGCTGAATCAGAGCGTGTAGCAGGTTGCAAATGCAGAGCCATTGTTTGAGTACTGCCTCTGTTTCACAGCCTTCGCTCTGAATGACATGCCTGTCCCGTTCAACCCGAAGATGCCTCCAGTAACGGAGCACTGTGATGTATCATCTACGTGGAGTGTCACGCTTGCAGCAAAAAGGATGAAAAAGACATAAAACAGGGGAGGAGGAGGAGGAGGGGGAGGAAGGAGGATGGGTGGATGTTAATTAAATGAGGGAGGTTGGCGGGGTACCTGTGTCTGCTGGGGAATATTCAGAAAGTTGTCCCGTGTTCCGATGCCGACAAACCGGTTGGGAGCTGTGGAGCCTGGCGTGGAGTATGCTATAAACAGGGAGAGAAGTGTGTACATGCTTTTTACACACACACATACACACTGAGCTCATAGAAGAGTTTGATACTCTCGTAATTTAATGTTTAAAAAAAGATATCAATACTATGACTACAATTCACTGTCAAAAGAATTACTGGGAAAAGACAGTAAGGGTCAGGAATACTGATGCCCTATTATTCAAATGGAAGATTTATTCATTTTGTGGGCAGGTTTGTTATTATTTTCATTCACTCAAGAATGTAATCCGTGGTTAACAAGGGGATGTAGAGTCTGAAATGATTAGCACTAACATAAAGTAGCTTTTTCCCCCAAATATGGCTGTGCTGTTTGTTACAGACACTCCTCAGCAGCCCCTGGCCTCAGGAATAAGCCTCGGTAATCATAGAAAACCACTGAGCGCTCACTATGGACATAATAATAGGGATGGAGGAACTGTATTCATCCCCGGTGGTAACCAATGCTCCATTTACGTTTGATAGCTTAATAGGAGCACCTTTTATTCAAAGTGACACCACTCAGTGATGCCACAGGATCAAATGTAGGGCAGTTGTGCTCACTGGACTCCAACGTGGGGGCCGAGTAGAACTTTTTCTTGATTCAGGTCGAGAGGATGGGGATGTGTGGGGGTGACAGTGACAGGGCTGGAATCTGATGCATGAGTGAGAGTGTACCATATGCATGTGTTTGTGTTTGTGTGTGCTTTTTTCGATTAACGATATCTTCATAAATCAGACAAAATTAGAGGGGGTAAAAAAAATAAATAAAAAATACAGTGATAACAGTCACCGGAATGAGAAAAAGAGACGAAGAGTAGGATATTTATTTATATAGATGTTCATATAAATAAATAATAAAGTGACATCTCAGAGAGTTGGAAGGAGGGGAGGAAAGGTTGATAGGACAGGAAGAGGAGAAAAAAAGTCAAAACAAAAGGAGGAGAAGGTGCCCCGGTTGCTCCGTCCAGTGCCCCCTCTTGGTGTGCCTCTCCCGTGGCCCGACTCTCGCACCGCACCTGTCTGGGTGGAACCAACCAAAGCCTCACCGCTCCCTGATGACACTCCTCTCCCGCTCCCCCACTACAGCACTAATTAGAAAGGTTTGATTAGATCTTATCATTCATGTTTAGAGAGATTGGGTTGTTCTTGTTATACTGTGATTTCCATGTTTTTGTTGTTCTCAATTTTTAATTGTTGTGAGATTTGTGTGAAAGAGGCGAGGGGATTGGGTGGGTAAAGTGGGGCATGATGTTTTTTTTGGAGTCCACGCCAACTGCCCTAATTTTGTTCCTTTAAAAAGAAAAAAGAGAGGAATAAAGGAAACAAAGAAACAAAGAAAGGAGGATATGAGAGTATATCAAATAAAGAAAAGTAGAAGGCAAAAAAGAAATGAGAG